GTGCGCGGCGCTGTGTGACCTTGGGCAGGTCCCCAGGCCTCTCTGGGCCTGGCCGCCTTCCCTTCTCCCCCACCCCAAGCTAGACCAACCGGAATTGATCAGGTGCCTGCTGGGTGCCAGGGACCCAGGATAGAGCCCTTCTCGAGCCTCAGGGAGCCCACAGCGTGACAGCGGGGTCATGGGGGAGACAGACAACACAGACGCCAGCAGACGAGATAATTCCAGGGAACAGTATAGTGCCAGGAGGAAAATTCGAGCAGGGGCAGGAGACAGGATGACAAGGGGCTGCTTAAGCCCGGAGATGGGAGAGGCCCCCCTGAGGAGGTGACATTGGAGCTGAAACCCGGGTGACAGAAGGAGCCTGCCAGGGGAAGACGGCTGTGGGGAGGGAAGCTGTTCCAGGTAGTGGGGACCGTGAGCCTAGAGGCAGGACTGCCGTGGGGGCCTTCAACACAACCTCGCCAGCAGCACAGGTCCCCTGATCAGGGCTGGCCCCCTTTCCCAGAGGAGCAAACCGGGGCCCAGCGAGGGTAACGGGCCTCAGCCAAGCAGAGGCTGGAAGAGAAGGACGGGGCTCGGGCCACAGCGTTGTTCCGGAATCGGGTGCTGGCCTCCTGGGGGCCGGGGGAGACCAGGGTCCAGCGAGGAACCCCGAGGGAGGCAGGCTCCAGGGGGGTGTCAGGAGGGTGGATGGGCCTGGGCCAGGATGGGTGCAATGACCAGGAGACCCCAGGGGGGCAAAAACAGGGGCTGCCTTTTGGGTGCCAGCTCCAGCCCTGCTCCCCCAACCCAGGGTGGTCCCCGGCGGGCCCTGCACGCTCTCGCACGCACGATAATAATAGCGAAGGCCTGTTCGTCCCTTCAGCTGTTTGACCCTATTGCTCCCACCTTACAGAATCACAGCGACACAGCGGCCAAGGGGGATTCGAACCCAGGCCTCAGGGGTGCTCTGACCTCAGGTTGCAGCCGACCCCTGCAGGCTGGTCAGCACTGGGCAGCTTGTCAGGGACTCTGGGGCCCTGCCCTGCCTGTTGGGTGACCTGGGCGGGGCTCCATCCCTCCCGAGGTGTGCCCCTCTATCCTCCCAGCCTGTGGAGCCGGCACTGTGTTGGGCAGACCATAAACACAGAAGCAAATAAATAGTGTCCAGAGAGTGAGGAGGCTTCTGGAGGAAATGAAATGAGAGAGGCTGACCAGCTAGGGAGGTAGGGAGCTGCTCTAGCCAGGCTGGCTGGGCCAGGCCTCCTTGTGAGGATGTTTGATCCAAGACTGGAAGGCAGAGATGAGCCAACCATGGTCCAGGTAAAGGAAACAACCCGTGCAAAGGCCCTGGGGCAGGACCGGGCCTGGTGTGGTGGAGCAACAGCCAGGAGGCCTGTGTGGCTGGAGCAGAGGGAGGAGGGGGAGAGAGGGAGGAGGGAGGGGACGGGGGTCAGATTCTGAGAGTGCTGGGGAGCTATGGAAGGTTCTTGCGTAAAGGGAAGGCTGGGCTCTGATTCGCATTTTAATGGGTGATCAAAGAGTTGGGAGGATCGGAGAGCGAGTGCACAGCCCGGCCGTGGGGTGTGACCTCGGGGTGGGAGAGAAGGCCCTTTGGGGGCATAGTGGGAGTCCAAATGGCTGCCCCTTCCTGAGCACTTGGTATGAATGAAGTGCTTTAGAGGCTGTAACTTATTTGAAGATTCTAGTATCAACCTCGTCTACCCAGCCGAGGCCGGCCTGGACTCCCTGTCTCTTGTCCCCAGAGCTGCCCGGTTCTCGCCCAGGGAGAGGCCGGAGCTCTGAACGCTCAGCCACCCCAGTGCCCCTGCCTGGCTGCTGGGTCGCCACCTCCCATTGGCCAGGGTCTTTGCATCTTTACAGACCGGTGTGAAAGCAGGCAGAGGGACCCGTGGGTGTGTCCACCTCGTCCCATTTCCCACCAGAGAAAGTTCAGAGGTCCACCCAGGAGGGGTCAGAGCTCAAGGGTCTTCAATCCCAGGGGAGGGCTTATGGCTGCCCCATTTTTCCTCTTCCACTTTGAGTTAGGGTAACATAAAGGCACTGCTCAAAGGGCGCAACTCCTATGCATTCTGCAGAACCCCAGCTTAAACACCCCCACCTGCCATCCAGAAGGCCTTTCCAATTTCCCAAGCGTGGACCTCCCTCCTGGTTCTGCGGCCACCCACACCCCTGGTCCCTTCTTCTACCGCAGCCCTGACCACAGGGGGGCTGAGCGTTTTCTGCTCGGTCTCCCCTCATCGCCTCAACCTGGGGAACCCCTCCGTGAGTCCCCAGCGTGGCCTGGCCCTGGCTGCCCACGCCGGACGGCAGAGAGCGTCGGTTTCACGAACCAGTCTTGTCCCACCATCTCACCCCCCAGGTTTGTAAACTGAGGCCCAGAGAGAGTCTCAAGGTCAGGCGGGGAGGTGGGGGGCGCTGGAACACGGCGTGGGGGTGGGGGTGCGGCTCCCCAGGTTCCCGGGTGGGAGGAAATGTGTGTGTGATTTTTACGGGGTGTGGGGGGAGCTCCCCGCCAACTGCATGCGGTGGGGAGCGGAGGCTCAGAGGTCACCCGGAGCCCTGGCAGGCGGGAGGGGACGGGCCTGGCCGGTGGCCCAGCCGCGCTGCTGGGGGGGCGGCAGGCAGAGGTTGGCGGTGTCGGAAGCCAAAGGCTCGGCCTCCCCGAGGGAGCCGCTTTCCCGGCCCGGGGCGGATCAATGGGCTGTAATTATACCGCGCCGGGCCCGGAGCCGGCGGGGAGGAGCGGGAGCTGGCAGGGGAGAGGCGGGCGGGGGAGCGCGGCCGACAGCGCCCCACGTTACTTTGATTGACAGCCCGGCCGGGCGCCGCGCGGGGGTTTCTGGGGATCGTAGTTTTTCCCAGAACCCCTGCTCCCTTCCCTTCTCCCGTCCGCCCTCGGGGAAACTGAGGCACGGGGAGCAGCCTCTCTCTCCCTTCGGTTACACAGAGGCCCATGCCTTCCCGATCTGATCTGGGGGACAAAAACTGAGCCTCGCTGGGAGCCTCTGGGCTCGGGGGAGAGTCTCAGCTCCTCCATGGGGTTGGGGGGGGGGCGTCCAGCGTGACTTAACCGGTTCTGTGCCTCAGTTTACCCATCTGTGAAATAGGGCGAGACGCCCTGAGCTTTTGCAAGGTGGCATGTTGGACGAGGGGGTCTTGTTTTGAAGGGGTGGCCCCCCTCCCCCCCAGGCTCAGGGGTGGCTCGCTTCTCCCTGTTTTGGGGTAAACTCGAGCCGATCCCCGCTCCCACCCGGCCAGGCTCGCGCGTCCACGAGGGTCTCAGCCCTCCTAGGGAGGGGGAGCTACACTCTCCATGCCGCCTTCCGATTGGCCCAGCCGATGCCAGGGTCTCCAGCCATTGGTTGCCGGCTCCCGGAGCCCCCATTGGCCAGCGCCCATTGTGACGTCACGGGCCCATGTGGGAGCGCCGCGGGCGGATTGGCTGGCGCGCCCAGCCAATCACCGCGGAGAAAGGAATTTCCACAGTAGCCGGGGCGGCGGGGTTGATTTAAGGTGGTCTGAGCGGTCCCGGGGCCCAGCGCTGCTTCTCGGCTTTTTCCTTGGAAAAAAAAAAAACAACAACAACCCACATCCACATCATAAAAAGCCAGCAACCACCGGGGCTGAGCCTTTCCGTGCGGAGGGAGGGGAGAGCTTGGAAGCCGAGCCCCTTCCCCCATTTTGCAGCGTCTGGCTGCATTTTGCAGATGGGGAAACTGAGACCCAGGGAGGTGGGGCGTGAAGGCCCCTGATGGCAAAGGAGTTGGTTGGGGAAAGTCTTGTCGCTTGAATGAGGAGGTCGTGCTGGACTGTCCAGTCTGTCCGTCTCGCCTGGCCTGGCCTGGACTGGCCGGCCCTTCCCTGCCTCCTGCTGCGGCCGGATGTGGCATGTCAGCGGGTTATGGTGCCCCAGGCTGCCCGGGGGTCCCCCCATCTCACACACTGGTCTCAGTGGAGCCTCCCCAAATTCTGCTTCCAAATCTGGGGATGCTTGTGTTCAGAACGAAGCTTCCCTTGTTTCCTAGCAGGTCACACACACCATGGGGTGTGTGTGTGTGTGTGTGTGTGTGTGTGTGTGTGGTCTTGTGGCTTCTCAGGCAATCCACAAGTCTGTATTTACCCACCCCTGTGGAGTGCGCCTGGCTGGGAGATCTAAGACTGGTGGGTACAGGTCCCCCTCCTCCAGGAAGCCACCTCTGGACTCACCGGCAGAAGCCCTGTTGCAGTTCTGGGTCCCTGGGGCCCCGGGTGCTCTCTCAGTCCTGGCCCTGACTGTGTGGCCCTGGGAGTGCGTGCTCAGGTCTGTGTCCTCCTCCACCCACCCTGGGAGCCCTCCCTGCGAGGCTTGGGTTCTCTCTAAGGCCCCAGCATCCTCCAGCAGCAGGAAGTGGCTATAGAATAAATGTCCACTTAGCCACCAACACTAGGCTGTCTGCGTTCAGTGCTCGTGCGGAGCGGGCGAGGTGAGGCTGGGGGCGATCCTTCTGGAGGAGATGCCTGGAAGAGGTGTCTTTTTGGCTGAGCCCTGAAGGCATGGACTTCCTCCAGGCAGAAGGAGTGGGAGGGAATTCCAGGAAGAGATAACAACCTAAGCAAAGCCCCCGAGGTGGGAAAGAGCAGAGATGAGGTCATCTGGCTGGCGTGGCTGGAGCAGAGAGAGTGAACCGGTGGAGGGAGGTGAAGCTGGGCGGGCCAGCGGGGGCAGGGCTAGGATGCTAGCCCGAAGATCTGGGAATCTGACCCAAGGGCAATAGGGAGCCATGGGAGGGTTTTAAGGGAGGGAGGGCCAGGCTCAAAGGGAACGTGATAAAGGTGAAGGCTGCGCAGAGGGAGCAGGTAGCTTGATGGCAGATGGGAGCTGGTGCAGGCAGGGAGGGGGCTGTGGAGACAGGAGGAGGGTTACACGGCAGCTGTGGGGGGAGAGAGGCCAGGCTGATGCTCCGTCTTGGGAACCAGGGTGGGCTGTGGGGTCTGACAGGGTGAGGACCAGGTGTGGGGGAAGACGCTGCATCTAGTGGCCTGGGGAGCATGCAGGGGAAATGCCCCTTGGTGGCTGCACCCCCCGGGGCGGGGAGGGGCTCAGGATTGGGAGCAGAGCTTGGACCCACCCTCACGACAGTGTTGACCGAAGCTCAAAAAGAATGTGGTGCCCCAGAGCCTGGGCAGCCAGAAGCACGGGCCAAGGTGACACCCAGGTGACCAGGGCCACCGGGTCGGGAGCCCACGGAGACGGGACAAGGAAGGCTGCTCTGGGCGGGGCTGCGGGATGGGGGCCGACCAGGGGCCCTTGCACTTGGGGTGGCCGAGCGCTTTTGGCCAGAGAAGGTGCAGGAGGAGAGACGGGCTGGGAAGGGGCGGGGGGGGGCGCCCCCATTTGGACTGGTGGCCCAGGGAGGGGGGATGCTGCCTTGCCGCGGGAGGCAGGACTTCAGAGACGCCCCCGAACGTGGTGGAACTGAGGAACTCCCTGTCTCCTAGGATTTCCCACCAGGAGTGCGGCCAGGGACTTCTGCCTTGGGCTGGATCAGCTGTTTCTGCTCCTTGCCCCACTGCCTGTGCATTTATGGAGCACCTGCTGTGTGCCGGGCTCTGCAGAGACCCAGACAGGCTCTGTACTAGGGGGAGACAAATAACGAAGAGAACAACCCACGAAGAAACATAATCCTGTCTAAACGAACCACAAACAGCATAAAAAACTCTGATAGGAACTAGAACGAGAAAAAGAATAGGACGCAGTGTTGGAGAATAACAGGGTGGGGTGAGTGGACGCTGCTTAAATGGGTGGCTGGGAGGGGACTTTCTGAGGAGGTGACATTTGAGCTGAGACTGGAATGGTGAGAAGCAAGGGAACAGCATTCCAGGTGGGAGGAACAGTCAGTGCAAAGGCCCTGGGGCAGGACCGGGCCTGGCCTGTGGGAGGAACAGCGAGGAGGCCCGTGTGGCTGGAGCAGAGGGAGGAGGGGGAGAGAGGGAGGAGGGAGGGGGTTTGTGCAGGGCCTCATAGGAAGAGGAAGGCATTTGGAACTTATTTGGATGGCAATAGGGAGCCATTGAACACTCCCTACACACACTATCCCCTGGATCTCTCTTCCCCTCCCTCCCTGGGGCTGCCCATCCTTATCTTTCAGGTCTCGTCTCCTATGTTAACCTCCCCAAAGAGGCCTCTCCCAGACGCCCCAGGTCATGGGGTTCCCTCTCATCCATCTCCGCCACTGCTCCCCAAACTCCTTTGGACACACAAATAATTCCGTCACTACCAAGCTGCCATCTTGCCCCGTCCCTTGAACTCAGAGGAGGCAGGACTCTTCCTCCTTCATCCGCCCTTGCATCCCTGGAAGGATGCCCGCCCCGCAGTGGATGTTCAAGAAGTGGCTGTTGGCTGGAAACGATGCTCTTAAGTCTGATCCGGGCTTGTGTGCGCGTTTGCTCGCTCGCTCGCCTGCTGACCTGGGTGCAGACATCAACACGGGGTAGGGGTTTTCTCTGTCTTGTTCCCTGCCAGGCCCCAGCGGCGAGAGCAGTGGGTACTCAATGCGTGTTTGTTGATCGAGTGAAGGAGCCACTCTGAGGTTTCTCGTAGGCAAGATGGGAATAAGAATGTGGGAGAAGGAGCCCCTACCCTCAGAGAGACCTCAGTCTGCTGGCAGAGATTCCCTTCCCATCCCCGCTGGGACCTCTGCCTTCTAGGACCCCCCTAGTCTGAGAGGGGAGGCACCCCGGTGTGCTGGTGGTGGCCCTCAGAGCACCAGCTCCCATCTCTGGGAGCTGACCCTGTGCCAGGCCAGGCCGAGGGCTGTTCCTGTCCCTTGCCATTTAGAGTCCAGGCCTCTGCCGCTGTACAGATGAGAACACTGGGGCCCGAGTGGACCAGGGCCTGGCTCTGCCTCCCGCTGGGTGCCTCCTGGGGCCTTTGCACACCTCTCGCTTTCCCTGGCGGGCACCCGGCCAGCCTGCTCCCTCCTGATGCTGCGTCTTAGCCCCCTGGCTCAGAAAGGCCACTTCTGCCCCCAGACCGCACCCCCCCCACACCGGGCTCATTAGGTGTTATCTGTTTCCTTGTTCCTCTTGGGTCTCCTCCAGGGAGGGCGGGGGCGGGGGTGGCGGCCCGGGACGCCAGCCTCAGTTTCCCCGCTGGCTCCCCGGCCGAGGGGAGGGCGCGGGTTCCGGGGCGGCCCTCCCGCGGGGGCGCACGGGGGGGCGCACGGGGGCGCGCGGGCCGGTGGGCGGGCCGGGCGGCGGCGCCACCTTAAGGCGGCTCTGCCCGCGGCTCCCGGCCGAGCCCCGCCGGAGGGAGGCGGCTCCGCGCGGGGCCCGCCGCCCGCGCCTCCCCGCCGGCCGGTGCCCGACCTCCGCGCCCCGCGCGCGCCCCCCGCCCGGGGAGGGGCCCCGGCCGCCTCCGTCCCCGCCGCCGCGCGCGCGCTCTCGGGGGCGCCGGGCACTCCGGGGTCCCCTGCCCCGCGCCGCCTCGCCCCCTCCTCCTCCTGCTCCTGCTCCTCCTCCTCCTCCGGGCAGCCCCCCACCTCCAGCTTCGCCCCCACCCCGCCCCCCATATTGTCCATCCAGCTCGGCGGCGCGGGGGGCTCCCCGGATCGCCAGGATGTACCCCCAGGGAAGGCACCCGGTGAGTGGGGGTCCGGGCTGCGGGGCGGGGCAGGGGGGGGGCCCGGGCGTCCCCGAGCTCAGACCCCGACGTGCCCCCCCCCAGACCCCGCTTCAGTCCGGCCAGCCCTTCAAGTTCTCGATCTTGGAGATCTGCGACCGCATCAAGGAGGAATTCCAGTTTCTTCAGGCTCAGTACCACAGGTGAGGGGGGGCCCGCCCCCGGGGACCCCGGAGTGTCCGCCTGGGAGCCCCCCGGGAGAGGGCGGGGCCCGCTGGGAGGGGGCGGGGCCAGGCGGGGGCGGGGCCTCCACGGTGCAGGGAGGACGGGGTCCCGGGGGCGAGGGGAGGAAGGCTTCCAGGTGGAGGCGCAGGTGGGCTTGGAGAGGGTTGGTCGGTAGTGGGACATTTAGAGCCTGGGGCAGGAGTGGGGAGGGACTGGAACCGGGAGGTGGGGCGGGGGGCGTGTGAAAAAGTGGGGAGTTGGATAGTGGCCCAGAGGGGCCGTCCGTGGGACTCCAGCTGGGGGGGCAGGGGCGCTGGGATCCCCACGTCCTGTCTGCTTCGCAGCCTCAAGCTGGAATGTGAGAAGCTGGCCAGTGAGAAGACGGAAATGCAGCGACATTATGTCATGGTGAGGGGGGTATGGAGGGTGTGGGGGTGGGGGGAGTGGGGAGGAGGGCTTGGCTGTGAGTGAAAACGCTGGGTGTGAATCTGGACTCGCTGTGCTGCTCTGGGGTAAGTCCCTGCCCCTCTCTGGGCCTTGCTTTCCCTGTCTGTGAAGTGGGCCTCTTGGGATTCCAGGCTCTCTGTCCCACGGCCCTCCCAGCCCTTAAGAACAATGAGACAAGGATGTCCCCGCTCCTCATGGGCATTTCTGGGGGGCTGGGGTCTCCCTGGAGAGAGTGGAGGGGGCCCTGCATCCCCCTCTGGGGTCCCTTGGGGCTGGGAGGTCCTGCCATGTTGCCCCCAGCCTGGGGGCTGTTGGAGGACCCGGCGTCACCCAGTGCAGGGCTGGCCGTCTGTGGGCAGCGTGGTCATTCCCTGCCGGCTTTTCCTTGCAGTATTACGAGATGTCCTATGGGCTCAACATCGAAATGCATAAGCAGGTAGCTGGCTTGGGGTAGCGGGGTGCAGCAGGGAGGGGGGTCTGGAGGCTGCGACGGGGATCTGTGTGCGGGCAGCGGGCGACAAAGCAGATCCGGGGAACAGGGGTCTTGCCCTGAAATCTCTGGGACCAGCAAGCTGGGTTTCAGCCTCGTGAAAGGAAAAAGATGAACTTTTGGACACTTCGTCCAGCAGTGGACACTGTCCGGCCCCGAGGCGAGCGGTGGGCATGGGCCAGTCGTCCCCATCAGGGAGGGCTCGTAGCTGAGGCCGGCAGCCACTTGGGGGGGCCTGTGCAGGTGACTCCTGTCCCCGGAGGGGGCCGGCTGGACAGTCTCGGAGGCCCCTTTCAGCCCGGAGAGTCTGACCTTGGATCCTGAGGGTCTGCGATGGACCCTGAGGTTCTGGGCTGATGGAGTTTTCCATTCCGTCCATCAGAACATCAGAATCAGTGGGCAGAGCCTAGCATCCGGGCTTCCCGGTGGGTGGGAAGAGGAGAGGAGTGGGCTGGGGTTGTGGGGTGTAGGGGGTGCCCACCCCACCGCCTTCCGCACCCACACGGCCTCCCCTTGGCTCTGTGGGCACCCCCGGCCCAGCCCCTGGCCCGGAGGAAACCCACAAGTGAAACCACCCCGGCTCTCCTTTCCTCTCTGTACTTCCGACGGCAAATGTGTGGCTTTTCCCCACGCCGGCCGACGCTCCGACTCCGGCCCTGGCGGGTGTCCCACAGTTCAGCTCGATTCTGACACACGACCCCGACCCCGAGCCCTTGCAGACCCCACAGCTTCAGGGCCCGGCCCCTCAGGTTCAGGCCCCCGCTTCTGACGCCGGCCCCAAGTCCCAGCCTCCTGTGTTTCTGACCGGCCGGCTATAAACCGGGGTTCCCATGACCCCCTTCTTGGGTCCTAGAATTTGCTAGAACAGCTTGTAGAACTCGGGAAAGCTCTTACTTGCTATCACCTGTTTATTATAAAGAATATAACTCAGGAACAGCCAGGTGGAAGAGATGCTCGGAGTGAAGTAGGAGGAAGGGGCTCCGAACGTCCACACCCGCCTGGGGGCCACCCCCCAGAAGCTGTCCGGACCTTGTATTTTAGGATTATTTTTAATAGGGGCTTCATTACCTTGGCACGATTGGTGAAATCATTGGCCGTTGGTGGGGAACAACCCCCAGCCCCTCTCCCCTCCCCGGAGGTCGGGGGGTGGGGCTGAAAATTCCAGCTCTCTGATGAACTCACATGGGGGAAAAGGGGGCTTATTAGGAACAGCAAAAGATGCTCCTGTTTGCCCCGTCACTCAGAAATCCCGAGGCCTTTAGGAGCTCTGTGCCCGGAAGTGGGGACGGAGACCGAATACGTGTTTCTTATATTGTGACATCTCGAAACCTTTCTGCGGTATGTTGTGTGGGCATCTCACCGGGCTGCAGGTTGCAATTGTAGGCGAGAGTCAGAGAGGGACGTGGGCCCAGCCGGGGCTCGGCCCCCCTGGACTCCCGGTGGAGGCCCCCTCGCCTTGCGTATCATGAACCCCAAGCTTCTCAGTGTCCGGTCTGCGCTGGGCGTCTGTGCTTCATGGGAACCTGCTGGGCGTCTCTGGGGGGTGGTGAGGCGACCCTGGGCATCCTCCGGCTGCACAGCCTCCTCGCCAGGCCCTCTGTCTGTCCCCGAGCCCGTGCCTCGCTGGCTTCTGTCACCCTGTTTGCGCCTGCGGGTGACAGCGCCCCCCCCCCAACCCCAGCTTCACAGAGGCTCGTGCTGTCCGGGAGCCGAGGGGCTGCAGAGCCCCTTCGAGCACCCCCCCCCACCATTGCCTCCCGCCAGGCCGAGATCGTGAAGCGTCTCAGTGGCATCTGTGCTCAGATCGTCCCCTTCCTGACCCAGGAGGTGAGCGGGCCCGGTGGGGCGGCAGGGCAGCTACAGGAAGATCGGGGCTGTTGGATTCTGCAGGCCCAGGCTCTGCCGGGTGGCCTGGGGGGCACCGGCTGGGACAGTGGCTTCTGGGGTGGAGGGAGATGTTCCCTGAGGGTGAGGAGTCGGGGCTGAAGCCCAGTATCCAGGCCGCCTGGATCCAAATCCTGGCTGTGCAGCCTTGGGCAAGCTGCTGGCCCTCTGTGCCTCTGTTGAGATGTTTAGATGAGCTCATGTATATAAAGTGCTGTGGATGATGCTGTGTGCTTAATAAACACCTGATAAAAGTTAGACCTTACGTGATGCTCAGTGACGTGAGGGGGACACAGAAGGACACGCACTGTGTGGTCCACTCACAGGAGGTCCCCAGAGGAGCCACATCCACAGAGACAGAAAGTGGATGGGGGGCCAGGGGCTGGGGGAGGGGTGGGAGTCAGTGTTTCCTGGGGACAGAGCTTCAGTTTGGGGAGATGGAAAGTTCTGGAGACGGATGGAGGGGATGGTTGCACAGCAACCTGAATGTGCTTCATGCTGCTGAGCTGTGCGCTTAAAAAGGGTTAAAAGGGTTACTCTTCTATTATATAGTTGTAACCACAACAATAAAAAAAGATGGAACTAGGACGGATAAAGACAATAAACAGTGTGGGCACTTTATTGAAACTTAAAAACTTAGCCCTCCAGGCCTGTTAGCTCAGGGCCAATCTTCCTCAAAACAAACAAACAAACAAACAAAAGTTAGCCCCGCCGTTGAGAATGTTGAGAATGCGCCAAGAGTCTCCCAGCCTCAGGACCTTTGCATCTGCTGAGGGTGGGGACGAGGTGGCCCAGAGTGGGAAGGGCGAAACCAAAAGAAACGAGGGTCCAGAGACCCTTGGGAGGAGTGACTGCAGACACACACGCGTGCCCCGGCAGTGCCACTCTTGTCCCCGCCCGACCCCCCAGCATCAGCAGCAGGTGCTCCAGGCTGTGGAGCGGGCCAAGCAGGTGACCGTGGGGGAGCTGAACAGCCTCATTGGGGTGAGTCATCCTGGCCCCTGGCCCTGCCCTGGGGAGACCCCACCCCCAGGTCCCTGCACCCAGTCGGTGCTAAAGCTGGGGGTGCTGGATGGGCAGCTGGCCAGGGCTCTGGCCGTTCTCAAGACCCCAGGGGCGCCCCCTCTGCCTGGACCCTGTCCCCGCTCCCTGCCCGCCCCCGGCCCACCCTCCTCCTCTCCAGCAGCAGCAGCTCCAGCCGCTATCCCACCACGCCCCCCCTGTGCCCCTCACCCCTCGCCCGGCTGGGCTGGTGGGCGGCAGTGCCACGGGGCTGCTGGCCCTGTCTGGAGCGCTGGCCGCCCAGGCTCAGCTGGCCGCGGCTGCCAAGGAGGACCGGGCAGGCGTGGAGGCCGAGGGGTCCAGAGGTGAGTGGACAGCGCAGGGTGGCATGGCTGGGCATACGGGGTGGGGTGCCAGACTCATCTAAGTGTGAGCGAATGAATAAGGGGGCCTGCAGGGTCATGGAGGTCAACTTTGCTCCCAACTGGCTGTGTGTCCTTGGGCAAGTTGCTATCCCTCTCTGGGCACCTATCTGAATGGTGCAGGAAAGGAAGGGTGTTGGAAGGAGAAGGGAGATTCTGAGCTGGGAAGAGCGCTTTACAAACTGTGGAGGGCGGTACCTTCTGGCATCATGGGACATGAAACCCTCATTCTTTTCCTTCTGTTTCTCTCTCTCTCCCCTGCAACCCGCCAGTGGAGAGACCCCCGAGCAGGGTAAGTTGAGGGGCATCCAGGGACTTGTGTGACATTTGCTTTGTATCCGCATGTGACCGAAGCTGCTCGTTCTGAACCGATAGGGGCCTCGGAAGGAGACCCACATCCCGCTTTCAAACTGTGTCGCCGGAGCCCTTTTGGGGCGGGAGATGCAAATCAGGCTGGAGTTTTATTTATTTACGTCTTTCAATCTTGGAGCTTTTTTCCCCCGATTGAATAAATGGATGCATGCCCGTGGTGGCGTCCCTTCCATCCTTCCATTCCTACGTTCATCCGTCATCCCTTTAATCTTATTATCTACAAGAGCGCTGCCTGACAGAACTGTGATGTGAGCCCCGCATGTCGTTTTTAGAAAATTGTTTAATTTTGAAATAATTGCAGATGCTCAGGAGGTTGCAAGGAAACGCACAGGGAGGTCCCTGCACCCAGCTGCCCCCAAAAATAGCATCTTGTGAAACGGAAATACAGTATCTAAGGCAGGAAACTGACATGCGTGCAACTGACATGCGTGCAACAGACATGTGTGCAACTGACACAGCGTGCAACTGACACAGCGTGCAACTGACATGCGTGCAACAGACGTGTGCAACTGACACACAGGCGGGCCTTTGCATGCATTCGTTGTTTGTGTCTGTGTGCACACGCGTGTGGGTGTGTGTGTGTGTGGTTCTATGCAGGTGAACGGACTTTCAAGACTCTAGTTTATGTAACAATGTATCCAAAATATTTCAGCCTGTAATCAGCCTAAAAAATTACTCAGGAGAGAGTTTACATTCTTTTTATTGTACTAAGTCTTCAAGATCTGAATGCGTTTTGCACTTAGAGCTCATCTCAACTTGCACTAGTGCTGCCCATGGGGACACGGGGCCATGTCTGGGGACATCTGTGGTTGTCACACTGGGGGAACTCCTGGCATCGCGTGGGTGGGGCCAGGGATGCTGCTCAGCCCCCCACAACCCCCAGGACGGCCCCCCAGAGATGACCCAGGCCTGATGTCCGGTGCGGAGGGGTAGAGACCCTGATATATAATAGGTGTTTCTGTATTTATCTGTGCAAAAATGGGATCATTACTATAGAAATAACAGTTAGCACTCACTGTGGACGTTGTCTTAAGCTAAGTGTTCCGTGGCTGTGACGTCGTTGTATCTTCCAACCAACCCTAAGAGGTCGGTGCTGTTGCTATCCCCATTCTACAGAAAAGGATGTTGAGACACAGACAGGTTAAGTGACTTGCCCAAGGGCACACAGCAAATGAGAAGCCAAACTGGGATTTGAGCCCCAGCAAACTGCCTCTCTCCTGGCTATTTTGCAGTTTGCCCTTTTTCACCTCAGTAATACGTTGTTTGTGGCCATCTTTCCAGGTCATCCCATCTCTACTTTCTTTTTAGATGGCCGCGTGCTCTTCCATTCTCTGGTCGTGCACGCTTTGTTTCCCAACCACCCCTGTTGTGCTCGACGTGGCTCTGAATCCTCCTGTGTGTGTGTGTGTGTGTGTGTGTGTGTGTGTGTGTGTGTATCTTTGCATATCCAGGCAGCTCTCTGCGCTGGATTTCTTATCTCTCCGGTAAATTGGGCTTTAAGATAAACTCTCGGCTGGAGAAAGGGTTCCCCAAATAAAATGCTCGAGCAGTCACCGTGCGGGCAGCCCCCTTGTGCAGATGGGGAGACCGAGGACAAAGAAGGGGAAAGCTGCCTGAGGGTCACGGGGGCAGGCCGACCCTAGGGGTGTGTCTTGGGGCCAGCTGACCCAGCCTTCGCCCCCGCCCTGCCCCGGGTCCCTGTCATCTACCCTCGAGGGCTGTGCCGTTCGTTGGCATCTGGTGGGCTGGCTTCCAGCCCCACCTCGGCCCCTGAGTCGCTGTGCAGCCCCGCATTCCCGTGGGTCTCAGTTTCCCCATCTGTACAACGGGGTGAACCGTCACTCCCGCCGGGAGCTTGCTGGGCAGTCGAGAACTGAGCACCGTGAGGACCCTTGGAAGGTCCATTTTCCAAACAGGAAGCTTGAGGCCCGGATCGGAATATCAGTCAGGGGGACCCTCGGCCTTGGCTGGGCCAGGAGGCAGTGTGGGGGCCCAGGGCCCTGACCCTTCTGCCCGCCTGGCCCCTGTCTCTTTGCAGAGCGCATCCCCGTCGCCCCCTGAGAGTGTGGTGGAAGAGGAGCGACCAGCTGGCCCTGGGGGCAACGGGAAGCCACGGGCTGAGGAGAAGGATCTGTCGGGACCTTACGTGAGTGGTGGCCGGCGGAGGACTGGGGTGGGCACTCGCGGCCTAGAGCTGCCCCCGGCCCTGCCCCTCGGAGCCTTGCAGAGCCCAGCTCTGCGTGTGACTCTCACTCCAGAGCCTTCCATAGCTCCCCATTGCTCACGGAGCGCTGCCCAATCAGAGGAGACCCGAGCCTCTGGCCCACGCATCCATTTTCCCACCTGCTGGCTTCTGTCCCCTTGTTCCCTCCCCTTCCGTGCCTCCCGAAACCGGTTTCTCCATCTGGGCACAAAACACTTTCTCCGGCAGGGAGCTGTCTCTGGTGCCCTCCTCTCTCACTGTCAGAGCGAGTCCTGCATCTATAGTTTCAAACTCCAGCGCCCCAGGTGCCAGGCCAAAAGTGGGGGCCAGGACCGTAGCCAGCGGGGGGCATTTGTCCCATCTGGTGGGGCAGCTGTGGCCTGGGCCCAGTGGACGGCGGCCTGGTTTTGGCCCATCTTGCTGTTTCTCTGAGAAGCCCTTAATCTTTTTTTTTTTTCTAAACGTAATAGCTTGTTTTATAAACGTCAGAAAGCTGGGGACAAGGGGTCAAAGAAAACCCGCTTACTGGGCGGAGGCGGCCTCCAGGCTGTGACCTTTGGTCTTCCAGCCCAGCATGTCAGCATTTCCCTTGACGACAATGGGGAGCCATAGAAGGATGTGGAGCAGACGTGGGGATGGGTCTTAGGGAGATCTCCCTGGGGCAAGCTTGGAGGGCTGCCTGGAGGGGGCAGGGCTGCAGGCTGGGAGCCCAAGGAGGGAGTAAGGTGGGTGCTGGGGTCGTGGGGATGGGAGGTGGGCAGGCGGGCCCGGGAGACGGACAATCCTGAGAGGTTGATGGGCTCTGTGGGGCGAGAGCCAGGAAGGAGGTGTGGATGACTCCTGGTCTCTGGCTCTCAGCCCACTGCACAGAAGGGAAACTGAGGCCCAAGAGGGCTGGGGGATGCTCAGGGCTGCACAGCGAGCCTTGGGCCCTCGGCTCTGTCTCCATCATCCTTCTGCACGAGGGACCCACCTTCCTTGGGAAGCAAGCGAATGGGCTTCCGTGGCCCCAGAGACCCCATCACCCCCGGGTGGCCGGGCGTGGGCTCCCCTCCCGTGGGGACGTCAGGGGTGCGGGGGCCGGGCCAGGGCGAGCTCTCCCTCATGTCCCCGCAGGAGAGCGACGAAGACAAGAGCGATTACAACCTGGTGGTGGACGAGGTGAGCGGGACTCCAGCCTGTGCCCTCTGACCTCTGGCCTTAGAGGCAGGCTTTTCCGGAGTGTGGGGGCCCCTGAGGGAGTGGGGTCCTGGTCCCCTCTCTGCGGGATGGCTGGGACCGGGATGGTGTGGGGCCAAGGGGAGTATGGGATACCGGGACCCCTCGGGCCCACCTCCTCTGCGGAGCACCAATGGGGAAACTGAGGCCCAGGGAGCACTGGAGATGGGCAGCAGGAGTGGCTCCAAGCCCCGGCTCAGCGTGTGACTTTGGGGGAGTGACGCCCCCTTGCCCGGCCTCACTCTCCCCCTCTGTTTGATGGGGGAAGACAGCACAGCCCTCATGGCGTCTTTGCTGTGTGTGTTCAGAGAGTCGGGTCCCATCACTAAACCCATTGACAGAGGAGTAAACTGAGGCTCCGGGAGGTTTCATAACCCCCCAAGGTGGGCCGTAGGTGCCCCAGTCCAGAGACTGAGATGGGATTCAGGAAGGACATAGAGAGGGGCTCTCCTTCCTCACCCACTTCACCCCCACTCAATGTCACCTCCTCAAACCCAGGACCAACCCTCGGAACCCCCCAGCCCCGCCACCACCCCCTGCGGAAAGGCGCCCATTTGCGTCCCCGCCCGTCGCGACCTCGTGGACAGTCCGTCGTCCTTGGCCTCCAGCCGCGGCTCACCGCTCCCCAGAACCAAGGAGCTCATCCTGGTAAGGAGGAGGGGAGGCCTTGAAACTCACTTTATTCATCCCGGGGGGGCCTGGAAACAGATGCTGCCACCCTAGACGCGGTGGGCCAGGAGCCATCAGCCAGGGTGTGTGGTCCAGCGTTGCCTTGGTGATTATTCTGACCCCGTTCCTAAAAACCCCCTTTATTTTTATCCAGGTAGTTTTTCCTAAGTCACTCGGTTGCACGTAAAGAAATAGCAGAAGGCAACTTTGTAAATACCTATTAAAAGGCAACTCTCGCCCTCCTCTGGGGAAACCAGGATCTCCTGCTATAAGTAGGAAATCCCACTGAAATAAACCCAGGGAGGCTGTAGGATTGGCAGCTCCCAGGCCCACGCCAGGCCTGCAAGTGTTAAGGCCTTTGCCAGGCGTTAGAGACACACCAGCCCCAACCTGAGCTGTTGTCCCCCCCAAGGGACGATGATTAATATCGGGACAACTTCCTCCTCGCTCCTCCCTACGTTTCATGCCAGGTGCGGGGACCACCTGAACGCGCTCCCCCTGGGCATCCGCCAGTCGGCTGCATTTGTCCCCGGCCCCCCCCCCCCCCCCCTAAATCTTCCCCAGACCCCTGCCCCCCCCCACCCTGCTTCCCCCGGAGATGGCGTCGGTTTCTAGGCCTCCCCTCCCAGCAGGTTGCTATGGTAACCGCCAAGGTTGGGGCTCCCAGGGCATCTTAGAGCCCTCCTCCCGCTCCGGCGAGATGGGGAGGGGGAGGGGCGGCTGTGTTCCAAAGAAGCCCCCGGAAGCCCCCCCTCCCCGGCCCCCCGCCTTGTCCCCATCCATCCCCCTCGTGGGGGTGCGAGCGTGGCTGTCACAAAACGTGTGATTGTGTAACGGAAAGATAGGGGCGGATGTGAAGTTTCTTGAAAGGCGAAGGAGGTGATGGCAGAATGCCCAGAGGACAGAGTGTGCCCTGTGTGGAGGTCCGTTTCCCTCTCCTCGAGTGTCCCCAAGGTGGGGGGACAGCTGTGGGGGACACGCCCCTCCCTATGGGCTGTTCCCTCATCTGGGAGCCCGCTGTGTGGTCCCCGCTTCATGAGCCCATCCCAGGGCTCCCCATCCTTGTCCCCGAAGGTGCTGACAGCCTCCAACTTCCGTGCCTGGCTGTGGGTCCGTCTACACCTGCGTTCCTGCCCGTGTCCCCGCACTGCATACCTTGTCGAACGCTTGCACGGTGCCCGCCTGGCGTTGTGATGTGTGCAGACACAGTGCCACGGCCCCCGTGTCCCGGGGACCAGCTGCGGGGCCGTTTCCCCGGCACGTGCACACCTGCGGTCACAGGGGTCCCCCTGGCCCCCCTCAGGGGTCCCGGCTCCCTTCTCCCATCCGCCTTCTGCCCCCGATCCTTGGTGCAAGGTGCCAGTACCTGGTGGTGTTCAGCTGCGCCCTTTGTCCCCAGAACGATCTTCCCGCCAGCACTCCCGCCTCCAAATCCTGCGACTCCTCCCCGCCCCAGGACGCATCCACCCCCGGGCCCAGCTCGGCCAGTCACCTCCGCCAGCTCGCCACCAAGCCAGCGCCTTGCACGGACAGTATTGGTGAGCGCCCGGGGAGGCAGGAGGTTCGGAGTCCAGCCGGGCACCGGAAAGGCAAGCTTTGGAGTCAGACAGGCTTGGGTGTGAGGCCAGCCTTGGATACACACCGGCTGTGTGACCTTGGGCGAGTGACTCAACCTCTCTGAGCCTGTCTGCCCCTCATTCATATGGGGTTGACAGTTTTCTTCTTTTCTGTCTGGTGGCCAGGCTCTGTGCTGGTTCTGGGGTCCCAAAAAGAAATCAGCCCTGGGACTTACCCTTAAGGATGGTGGGGGAGGAGACTCAGACCTCAAACTCCCAGCCCTGTGTGGTCAGGGCTGGGGTAGAGGGAGGGACCCAAAACGGGCAAGGTTGGAAGCTAGGGGTGGGGTGGGATGGGGAGGCTCAAGGATGTTCCTGAGATGTTGCTGGACATTGGGTCTGGGTTTTGAAGGATGAATAGGAGTTTAGCAACTGAAGAAGGAAAGGGAAAGACGTGTCAGCCAGAGGGAACAACATTTGTAAATGTCTGGAGAGGTGACCGGGTATGTGGATGCTGGGCCAGAGCATGGGAGCCCTGAATGACAGGCCAAGGAGCTGGCACCATGCCCCCAAGGCAGGATCTGGGTTCAAGATGTCCAGACACCTGTCTTTGCCTCTTCTCACTCAGGCCTGAGGAGCCCCCTGACTCTGTCCAGTCCTTTCACCACGTCCTTCAGCCTGGGCTCCCACAGCGCTCTTAATGGGGACCTCTCTGTGCCCAGCTCCTACGTCAGCCTCCACCTGTCCCCTCAGGTCAGCGGCTCTGTGGTGTATGGACGCTCCCCCATGGTGAGTCCTTGGGGTGGGAGATGGGAGGAGGTATCCGCAGGGCCCCGGGGGCTGGGAGCTGGGAGGAGAAACCAGTTACACCAGGAGAAACAAGGCTGTGGAGAAAGGGAGGGGAGTTCTGGGCTTGGCAAGTGCGTGTGGGAAAACGATCTGAGGGTCTCAGTGGCTCCATAAGCTTAATCCAGATCAGCACCTGTGACTGGAAAAAATGACTGCGATTATGCTGCATTAAGGGGAACAGAGAGCCCCAGCCGTAGGAGTCGAGGGTCCCATTCAGCCTCCTGGCAGATGCTGTACAGTTGTCAGCCCTGATTTTCCAGAGACAGTGACAACTCTGGTAGACTAGCCCGGGGAGAGAACTGGAAGTGATGTCCCCTGTGGAGGAGCTGGGGCGGAGGGAGCAGAAAGGGTCTGCGCGGGCCCCAGAGGACGGTATGGGACAGATGGCTGCTAGAGGGCGCCGTCCTGAAGTGGCTCAGGATGCCCCCAGGGGGGAAAAACCGCCTGTCACTGGAGAGATCCCAGGCCCCGGGAATGTGGAGTTAGCGAGTTTTCCGTGAAGGGCTGGACAGTAGACATTCTCGGCTTTGCAGACCAGTCGGTCTCTGTCACAACTACTCAGCTCTGCCTTTATAGCCCCAAAGCCCCATAGGCAACATTTAAATGAATGAGTGCGGCTGTGTGCCAATAAAACTTTATTTACAAAAACAAGCAGGGGGCCGTAGTCGGCCAACCGCTGTACTGAGCCTGGGACGGAAGATGCTTCAGGATCCGTCCGCCTCTGGGGTCCTGGGGGCCTCTGACAGACAGAGAGGCATGTGGCAGGTGAGCATGGAGACGGCAGACGTGGCTTTGAGTCCCCTGCCCCGTGACACCCCGTTTGGCATCTTGGCAGATGGCATTCGAGTCTCATCCCCATCTTCGAGGCTCATCCATGTCGTCGTCTCTGCCCGCCATCCCCGGGGGAAAGCCGTGAGTACGGGGTGGGGCTCACACTGGGGGGAGTGGGGGGTGGGTCCCTGCTGCCTTTCCAGAAAATTCTCTTCTGTAAGGTCATGGGAGCTCCCGGGGCGGGGGGTCTTTGGAGAGAGAGGTACGTAACCAGCCGAGTCGAGACCAGCGCTTCTCAGCAGGGCTCCATTCTGCCCCCAGAGCTCCTTGGGCGATGTCTGGTGATGTTTTGGTTGTCACACCCAAATGCTTCTAGCCTCTAGTGGGTGGCACCCAGGGATGCTGTTCATCCCCCCTGCCCCCTGCCCCCCAGTGCACAGGATGGCCCCCCCCCCCAGAGAATGACCGGCCCCAGGTATCCATATAGAAATTTCCACCATGATGGGAATGCTCTTCACCTGCTGCTGTCCCATGAGATTACCATCAGCCACGTGTGGCTTTTGAGCCCTTGAACTGTGACCTGTGGAGCTAAGGAAATTTAAATGTATTTGAATTTATCTGGCCCCGTGGGGCTGGTGGCCACTATTGGACAGCATCCTCTGGAACTCTCAGAGGCTTCTTTGGACCCTGTCTGTCTTCCACGAATATTTGCGGAGCGCCTGGGTACCACGCACCAGGCCACGGCCTGGACCGCTTCCTGTGTTGCACCACTGCTGACTGGCCCACGCCACCTTTGATCACGTGGTCCCTTTCCTAAATGCATGGGGGGCCCAGGCAGGGGAGGCCCCTCCTGGCCTGCGGGGTGGGGTGCGGAGGCCCCGGCCCAGCCCCTCGGGCGCTGTCGCCCCCTCTCCCCCCACCAGGGCCTACTCCTTCCACGTGTCCGCGGACGGGCAGATGCAGCCGGTGCCCTTCCCGTCGGACGCGCTGGTGGGCGCCGGCATCCCGCGGCACGCGCGGCAGCTGCACACGCTGGCGCACGGCGAGGTGGTGTGCGCCGTCACCATCAGCGGCTCCACGCAGCACGTGTACACCGGCGGCAAGGGCTGCGTCAAGGTGTGGGACGTGGGCCAGCCCGGCGCCAAGACGCCCGTGGCCCAGCTCGACTGCCTGGTGAGGGCGGGGCTTGCGGCCGAGGGGCGGGTTTATAGGACAGCAGGGTGGGGCTTACAGGCCAGTGGGTGGAGTTTATAGGATGACAGGGGTGGGGCTTACAGGCCAATGGGTGGAGTTTATAGGCCAATGGGGTGGGGCTTACAGGCCCATGGGTGGAGTTTATAGGCCAATGGGGTGGGGCTTACAAGCCAATGGGTAGAGTTTATAGGCCAACAGGGGTGGGGCTTATAAGCCAATGGGTGGAGTTTATAGGCCAACAGGGGCAGGGCTTACAGGCCACTGGGTGGAGTTTATAGGCCAACAGGGGTGGGGCTTACAGGTCAATGGGATGGGGATTACAGGCCAATGGGCGGAGTTTATAGGCCAACAGGGGCGGGGCTTCCAGGCTAATGGGTGGAGTTTATAGGCCAACAGGGTGGGGCTTACAAGCCAATGGGTGAGTTTATAGGCCAATGGGGTGGGGCTTACAGTCCAATGGGTGGAGTTTATAGGCCAACAGGGGTGGGGCTTATAAGCCAATGGGTGGAGTTTATAGGTCAACAGGGGCAGGGCTTAGAGGCCAATGGGTGGTGTTTATAGGCCAACAGGGGTGGGGCTTACACGTCAATGGGATGGGGATTACAGGCCAATGGGTGGGGTTTATAGGCCAATGGGGCGGGGCTTACAGGTCAATGGGGTGGGGATTACAGGCCAATGGGGCGAGGCTTACAGGCCAATGGCTGGAGTTTAGAGGCCAACAGGGGCGGGGCTTACAGGCCAAGTGAACAAGGGCAGGGTGAGAGTTCATCTCCTGGCCCCTGGAGGCCTGGCCGGGGGTCAACCCCACCCCTGCTTCTCCCCCTCCCAGAACCGGGACAACTACATCCGGTCCTGCAAGCTGCTGCCGGACGGCCGGAGTCTGATCGTGGGCGGCGAGGCCAGCACGTTGTCCATCTGGGACCTGGCGGCGCCCACCCCCCGCATCAAGGCCGAGCTGACGTCGTCGGCCCCCGCCTGCTACGCGCTGGCCGTCAGCCCCGACGCCAAGGTCTGCTTCTCCTGCTGCAGCGATGGCAACATCGTGGTCTGGGACCTGCAGAACCAGACCATGGTCAGGTGGGTGGCGGGGGCCCTGTGACCTCGGGCCGGCCCTGCGCCCGTCCCTTTAGTGTTGGGGGGGGGCGGGCGCGTGGCCTGGGAGGATGCTGGAGCAGCCCCAGCTCCAGGACGGATGCCCCCGCCCTTCTCCCCCCAGGCAGTTCCAGGGCCACACGGACGGTGCCAGCTGCATCGACATCTCCGATTATGGCACTCGGCTCTGGACGGGGGGCCTGGACAACACTGTGCGCTGCTGGGACCTGCGGGAGGGCCGCCAGCTGCAGCAGCACGACTTCAGCTCCCAGGTGCCGCTCCGGGTCTGGCGGGAAGGGGATAGAAGCTCCAGGCTTCCGGCCTCCCTTCCTCTCTCCCTGAGGCACCCACTTCCAGAAGCTGGGCAGCACCAAACACTACTATCTGTGTCCATCTTTCTTGTCCTTCAGACAAATCAACAGGCCTCCCCCTTTTTTCTTCAAATCTAGTCAAAGGACAACACAAAGGAGCTGATTTAGATTAAGCTGTGGGTCCACTAAGATTCTCGGGTCGTCTTCCTCCATGCTCTCACCAACCCATTCCCCCATTCCTTTGTCTCTCCCTGGGTAGCTGGTTTCTCTTCCCAGTCCTCAATCTCTTCACCCCACTGAGAGCTCCCCACTGGCCCCCAGGAACTCACCATGTGGGTGCTGCTGACCTGGGGGGACAGGTAGAGGTCGGCATAGGAGCTGGGCACAGAGAGCTCTCTGTGGAGGGTCCTATGGGACTCTAGGCTGAAGGATGTGGTTAAGGAGCTGGACAGAATCAGGGGGCTCTTCTGGGTTGAGCAAAGACTCAAGGACAGGTCTTCAGATACTCTCGACCCAGGTCCTCTCTCTCACTGCCTCGGGGGCAGGGTGCGAGCTCCATTGGCTGTCATTTAAGGCCTCCATGCTCTAGTCTCCCCTGCCCTCTGACATCTCTAGACCTTCCCACTTATTGTTTCTTCTGGCTGACATGCTTTTCCCTTCCTTTCTCCACTTGGCAAACTCCTATTCATCCTTCAAAACCCATCTCCAGTTTGCCCCTATCTTTGAAGTCTGGAAGGAGCTAGTTCCCAAACTCTTTCTGTTCTCCCCTCTCTTCTCTTTAGCTCGAATTTTTCTTGGTAGGGAAATCAGTGGTGCAGGCAGATAGAGTCGTCCATTGCCTGTCCCCAAAACATATGGGGATCATGGTGGATCCCATGTGGATCTCTCCCATGCCACCAGGCCCCCTGTCTTTATCCACGGCCAGGAGAGAACATGTGAATCTCCCAGTCTTCGCCCTGCTGTAAACTTAGGGTTCTCTCCGGCCGCGTCGTCCGGGTCAGGAAGACTTCGAGAGGTTAGGATGGAAGGGGTCCTTGTTCCCCTTCGTGCCTTGCTTGGGGGTGGGGGGGCGCACAGAACGAGGAGGCCACTGAGTCCTTTCAGATCAAAGTAAAAAGAGGTGTGGCAGGTGGAGAAAGTTCCAGGCTGGGACTCCCACGGGTTGGTCTTTCATGGACTTGCTGTGTGGGCTTGAGTGAGACGTGGCCTCAGTTTCCCTTCCACCATCTGCTCAAGGGAAGCGACCCGCCTCGCGTGGCTTTCCCCTCCCCCTCCCCCTCCTCCCCTCCCGCTGTTGTGCGCTGGGAGCAGATAATGGATACGGCCCCGGGGGCCCTTGTCGTTTTGATTAATATTAATGAGTCGACATGCAGTTGCCGCTGTGTTCCAGGCCCTGGGCCAGCCGCCTCTCCACGACTCCTCCGGGGCTGCAGCGGGACAGCGCTGGACCTCTCCCCTCCCCCCAGCCCCCTCGTCCTGGGCGTCCCCCAAATTCCCAGGAGGGCTTCTGACCTCCCCTCTTCCCTTGTCCCCCCCCAGATTTTTTCCCTGGGCCACTGCCCCAACCAGGACTGGCTGGCCGTGGGCATGGAGAGCAGCAACGTGGAGATCCTGCACGTCCGCAAGCCCGAGAAGTACCAGCTGCACCTGCACGAGAGCTGCGTGCTCTCCCTCAAGTTTGCCTCCTGCGGTGCGTCGGCCCGGGCAGGGCGGGGGGGGGGGGGCCGGGGTCCCCAAACACAGAGCAAAACCCGCTAAAACCCCCACACGACAACAAACAGGATGCCCAGTGAAATCTGAATCTGGGACAAACGACACGTCATTCGTTGGTATATCTCAAGCATTGCATGGACTGTGCTTACACGGAATGACAAATCATTTCTTTGTGTAAGTATATCCCAGATAGCATGGGAGACATACTTATACTAAAAAGCAACTAATTCGTTAGTACAAATTTATCCCATATGTTGCATGGGGGTAGACTTACACTAAGAAAATATTTTTTAGTGTAAGTATATTCCAAATTTTAGTATAAGAACATCCCATATTTTAGTATAAATACATCCCAAACTTTAGTATAATTATGCTCCAAACTTTAGTATAAGTGTGTCCCATACTTTAGTATAAGTATATCCCAAACTTTAGTATATGTTCTATATTTTAGTATAAATATGTCCCAGACTTTAGTATGAGCATGTCCCAAACTTTAGTATAAGTACATCCCATACTTTCATATAAGTACGTCCCAAACTTTAAATGTGTCCCATACTTCAGTATAAGTACATCCCATATTTTGGTATAAGTGTGTCCCAAACTTTAGTATAAGTATGTCCCATACTTTAGTATAAGTGTGTCCCAAACTTTAGTGTAAGTATATCCCAAACTTTAGTATAATGTGTCCCAAACTCTAGTCTAAGTATATCCCAAACTTTAGTATAATGTGTCCCAAACTTTAGTATAAGTGTGTCCCAAACTTTAGTGTAAGTATATCCCAAACTTTAGTATAATGTGTCCCAAACTCTAGTCTAAGTATATCCCAAACTTTAGTAGTATAAATATGTCCCAAACTAGTATAATGTGTCCTAAACTTTAGTATAAGTGTGTCCCAAACCTTAGTATGTGTGTCCCAAACTTTAGTATAAGTACATCCCATACTTTCATATAAGTACATCCCAAACTTTAAGTGTGTCCCCTACTTCAGTATAAGTACGTCCCATATTTTAGTGTAAGTGTATCCCAAACTTTAGTATAAGTATGTCCCAAACTTTAGTATAATGTGTCCCAAACTTTAGTATAATGTGTCCTAAACTTTAGTATAATGTGTCCTAAACTTTAGTATAAGTGTGTCCCAAGCTTTAGTGTAAGTATATCCCAAACTTTAGTATAATGTATCCCAAACTTTAGTCTAAGTATATCCCAAACTTTAGTAGTATAAATATGTCCCAAACTTTAGTATAAATATGTCCCATACTTTAGTGTATGTCTCAAATATTGCATGGGATGCATATACATTAAAAAATAGTGATGATAATGAAATGCTTGGGACATATCTGTACTGAAGTGACCTGTGGTTTCTCTGAGATTCAGATCTAAGCGGGCCCCCCCATATTTCCTCGGCAAACCCTCTCCTGGGGGCTCCCCCTTCCTGAAGGCCAGATGGAGCCCCTGGGGCCTTGACGTCACCACCCGGGGAATGGGGGAAGGATGGAGCCTCAGTCCTCTAAGGGGCCTCGTGTCCCCCAGATGAGGGCAGAGGGGCCCGCAGGCGGAGAGGCCAGCCAGCCTGTCCCACGCCCGACCTGGCCCCAGCCCCGGCCACCTGTGGTCCCCTCCGGACGCTCCTGCTCTCCTCCCCAGGGCGGTGGTTCGTGAGCACCGGCAAGGACAACCTGCTCAACGCCTGGAGGACGCCGTATGGAGCCAGCATCTTCCAGGTGCTGGGGGTCAGAGCCCGGGCCGAGGGCCTGCACTGAGGCTTAAGCACAGGAGGTGGGGCGTGTGTGACATAGATTTATTTGGCTTCTGGACTTACTGGCCAGAGACTTATTTGGACTTTAGGCAAAGCCCAAAGTTTACCATCGGGCCCTTTACAGAAAAAGTTTGCCGAACTGGCGTAGGTCGTCGTGCTGTAACTCTTAGCCCTCTGCTGTGCTGTGTGGCCTCGTGCCTGGTGCACACCCTCTCTGAGCTTCCCAGGAAAGGGCAGTGCTCTAGTTCCCTCTCTTGCTGTCCAGAGAACGGAGGTCCCGCCCTTTCCAGGAGCATCGCCGTCTCTCCAGAGAGGCTGGGCTTCAAAGGCCCTTTCCCCAGGAAACGTGTGACCCTCCTTTCCTCTGCTAGGAGGGTCCTGGCTCCCCACTCTGGGCTCCCCTGTCCTGAGTCCTGTCCCCGCCCAGCCTGGAGTGTAGGCCAGTCCTTGGGGACAGGCGCCGGCCCCGGTGGCCTGTCCCTTCCCTCTGAACGTGGGGCAGCATGGGCCGCGCCTCACGTCTCCCCCGCTCTCCTCTGCCCCCGTCACAGTCCAAGGAGTCGTCCTCCGTGCTGAGCTGCGACATCTCGGGGAATAACAAGTACATCGTGACGGGCTCGGGGGACAAGAAGGCCACCGTGTACGAGGTGGTCTACTGAGACGCCCCCCTCGCCCGACTTGGGAGGGAGGGGCGTCCGGGACAGAGACCCCAACCCCACCCCCTCCAGTCATCCCTGGGACCCCGAAATCCCACCTTCCCCTGCCGGATGTGGGCCGAGCGGGCAGGAGGCCTTTGGGGAAATAAATGTATTTATCAGAACTGCGTTTCCGTGTGGGGCTGGGGGCTGTGACTTCCCTTGGGCGCTACTCCTGCAGAACGGCCACTTTCTGGCTGTGTGGCTGTGAGCGAGTGGCCTCCCTTCCTCCTCCTCTCTCTCTGGACAACGAGATGATCCCCTCTGCGTGAAATACTGCGGGATGCGTCTCGAGAAACGGGTGTTGTATTGGGCAGCGTGGCTTGAGTTGTGCTCCATAACAAACAGCCCCAGATCTTGGGGGCTGAACCCACAGAGGTTTCTTTGTCACGCCCATGGGGCCCGGGGGCTTGACTCCAGCAGACACCCGGGGCTCCCAGATGGGGGAGGTCGCACCACCTCCATATGCCACTTCGGGGTCCAACAGAGCAGGAGAGACGAGGCTTTGAAATCCCTGGCCCCAAGGTGCCATGTGTCTGTGACAAGAGGACCCCCCTTTGGACACAAACATTCTCAGACACTGCCCACGTTCCAAGGGTTGGGGAACATCAGGGAGCACGTAAGCATTCGGGGTGTCTCCTGTCTCCTTGAGCCCAGAGATAGTTCCTAAAAGCTGGTGCGTGATGTCCGGCCTCACCATAAGGTGCTGTGCCAATGTCACAGTCCCGGAGGAGGTGACGTCAAAGCCAAGAGCTAAAGGAGGGGAAACGGCCATTGGGAAGGGTCACCAAGGACTGTGCTGGGCACAGAGGGAACAGCATGTGCGAAGGCTCAGAGGTGAGGAGCTGGGCCTGCCAAAAACCAGGAGGGCAGGGCAGGAGCGAGGTCTCCAGATCCAGCTTAACCAGAGAGAGCCCACCGAGGAAATGGGAGCCAGGGTGGGGAGGGGCCAGTGGGAGTGGCAACGTAATCAGATCTGGGTTCTGGAAGCTTCTCTGGGCTGCCACGAGGACCACTGTGGGTTTGAAGGGGCTGGGGTGGGGGAAGCAGGGCTGCTGTTGGGAACCTTCTGGAAGGAGTGGCCGGGTCCCTGTTGGAAACACAAGTCAGACCCAGCGGCGTTTCTGAAGGCACATTATGGAGACAGAATAAGTCTCTGGTTAAGGAAACTAGACCGGTTGATGCCAGTCTGGACATTCCTTGTCCTGAAGGACAGGGCCAACGAAGGGTTGTTTCGGGGCCCTGGTGGGAGGGTGGACGAGCAGCCAGCCCCCAAGAGCTATGGCTGTAAAGTAATTTCTGCCGCCCGGCACAGCTGACATCGGGGCCACGTCACTCCCTCGGGGCCGTCCCAGGTGCTGGGGGGCGTTGAGCAGCATCCCTGGCCCCCATCCGCTCGATGCAGGAGCTCCCCCAGTGTGACAGCCACAGACGTCCCCAGACATCTGCTGGGGGTTAGATTTGCCCCTGGATGGGAGCATGAGAAGCCGTGGTCTGAGGGGCCGTCGTCTTGGGAAGGACCGAGAACATCATCCTGGAATTGTGCAGGACGTGGCTGGAAACCTCGCTCCGAGAGACGAGGAGAGATGAGCTCAGCGGGGCAGGAGCGTCCTCCGCACCCAGTTGCCCCCCACAGTGGGGGTCGGTGACTTTGATCAGATGCAGAGAATGTGGACTCAAAATCTGAGAGAGCTGCGCTGGACAAAGTCCCTCCAAACCTCGACAGGACGGCCGGGGGACGGGACGCAGACCCAGACCAGCTCTGCTTTTTCCAGTTGCTTTATTACGCGTGACAAACACCACGGGCCAAGTCGTGCGAGGCGGACGAAAGCCAGCCCACCCACCACCCCCTCCACCACTACCCACCCCCTCACTAGGGGAAAAGAACAGGGAAAAAGGGCCCCGAGTTGGGATGCCGGGGCGAGGCCCTCAGTACGTGATCTGGTACACGGAGGCGTGGTCCCTGGACCCCGTGACGATGAGGCGGTTGTTGGGGGACACGTCACAGCACATGATGGAGGAGGTCTCGGGTATCTGGGGAGGTCAGGAGTAGAGCAGGGGGGCTCGCCCACCCTTGCCCCTAAACTCTGCCTGTCAGTTCTAATGTGGTCCCTTTGGGGCCTCTGCATTGGGACCCCCGGGCGGAGCGCCCCGAACATGGGGGCACGCCTGCCCCACCCTGGTACCTGGAACACCATGGTCCCTGTGGGCATGCTGTAGATGCTGACCAGGTCGTCCATCCCAACGCTCACCCACCACTGGCCTGGAAGGACACAGAGGGCACCAGGAAAGCTGGTAGCCGAGGACCAGACCCCTGGGGATCTGAGACACGGAGGGAGCCCCCCACCTCCCTCGTGCATCGCTGAGAGTGGCTCCTGCTCACACAGCACGTGGGGGGTCGGGGGGTCAGAAACGGTCGGGTGGAGTTGATCTAAGTGCGGCAGGGCCCTGTGGCAGGCTGGGGGCCGCTGGGGACTCCCCCCCAAGCCTAGCCACTCACCAAAGGGGGAGAACTTGAGACCGAGGATGGTGCTGTCCTTACACCCCACCAGGTGCTTCTGGCCCCCAGAGGTGGGCTGCAGCCACTGCTGGCCATTGGCCATGCCCAGCAGCAGCCAGTCCTGCCGGGGGCTGGGGGACAGGCTCATTATCTGGGGGTAGGGAGTAGGCGGTAGGGAGGAAGCTGGTCACGGCCCTGCCTGGCCCAGAAGGCAGGCCCCGGGGACCCACCCAGGGGGCCCGACAGGCAACTTCACATCTCGGGGCCCCAGTGTGTTCATCTGTCAAATGGGCGTGTCCTCTCTACCTTAAGGGGTTATCACAGACTACACGGGTCCCCTAGCAGCTGATACAGGTACGAAAGCATCTGTAGTTGGACAATAGGGGAGGTTTCTAATGACCTCGTCTTCCTCCCAGCATCACTTGAACTTGGGGTACCACCCCCCAGCTCTTCTGCCAACATCCCCCTCCTTCTCTAGTCTGAGGAGCACCTGCTACCTGGCTGAGCAGGCCCCATCCCAGCCTGCACACCTGAGACTCGAATTGGTACTCCCGGGGCTCCCCGGCTGCCCGCAGGTCCCAACACCGCAGGCAGGCGTCCAGACCCCCCGTCCAGACGTTCTGGTCTTTGACGGCGATGCTCTTGGCTCCATTCGGGGGGCCCGGCAGGTCCCTGGCCAGGAGGCGGTCGGGGCTGAAACTCTGAGCTTTGGGCACTAGAAACACCACCCGCCCAGCCACAGCTGGTTGACAGATGGGGAAACTGAGGCAGACAAAAAGTGCCACGACTGGGCTTCGAGGAAGCAGCCCAGCCAAGATGTGAACCCGAGTCTTGGACTCTCCTAAACGTGAGTTTAAGCAGGTGAAGGGACTTTGGTCTACAGACTACGGACCCCTGCCCAGGGGACCAGGCCGGAAGGGGCTCTGGGGACAGCCGTGCCCACCCCCGGGCTGCACCTGACCACGCTCTGGTCCCGCAGGTCCCAGATCCTGACGGTGCCGTCGGTGAAGCCGGCGAAGGCCAGGCTGTCCACGGGGTTGGCGGCCAGGGCCTGGCAGGTGAGACCTGTGCAGGGCAGCTCGTCCCGCACGTGCAGGGACGGCGCCGTCAGGTCCCACACGCTCACGCCAGCCAGGTGGTGGCCGCCGGTCAGGAGGGTCGTGCTGTTGGAGAACAGCAGGCAGGTGCGCAGGTAGGCCCCCTGGGTCTGCGATGGGCAGGGGCACAGGTGAGCTTCCTGCTCCCACAAGCCCCGCCCCCAGGAGCCAGCCGCGCCCCTCAGGGGGCCAGCTCCGCCCCCAGCCCCACCCTCACCTGTACACGCAGGTGGCTCTCTGGAAACCTGTCCTCCACCACCTGACCCGTCAAACTCCACACCTTGACGCCACCCCTGGCGCAGGTGAACGCGTGCCGCGTGAAGCTGCTGACTGCCGTGGCCAGCACGGGCTCCCCATGGTTCAGCGTGCGCATCTTCTCCATTCTGTGCGGGACGGCCAACTTCTTGGATTGCCAGGGCGAGGCATCCGGCCTCTTCCACGTGTCTTCGAAGTCCTCGGGTTCCCAGCATCTTGGGAGGGGAGGCCTCGGGGTCACCAGCCTTCCCGGAGCGGGGGGCACCCATCAATCCCCAGAGGGGCTCCATTCTTTTTTCAGATGCTGGGGTTCTCTCTCAGGCCTCATTTCTCCACTACAGTATACTTACCCCAGGTCCTCCCCACACCCCTCCAAGTATTCTCCCTCTCCCATAACCCAGCACCACTGCCTTCTGTCTGGAATGCTTTGCCCTATCCCAGAAAACTCCTACACATCCATCAAGGTCCTAACCATTATGCCCCTTCTTCCGGAAAGTCTTCTTGCCCCTATCAGGGTTCCCCTAGCCTCAAAACACAAGGTTGGGACTGTTTGCATCCAGCTCTGACACAGCATGGGAGTTCCTTCCCCAAAGCTCTTGAACCCAGGGCTGGCTACATAGGGAGGGGCAGTGATGTCGGCACGAACGTAACTCCACTCGCATATCTCCACCCAGACCCCCCAGCTCCGGTCACTGAAGACAGTACCGTGGTGAAGGGGGAGGAGAAAGACACACCTCCACCTCTGGTCCCCTCTACCTGCGACAACAGGATACAGAGGAAGGGGCCGTGCAGGTACTCACATGGGCTTCAAAAATCGATAGGCTCGTCTAGCAGGCTCCTGTGGGTGGACCAGGATCATGGCTGAGCCCCGTCGGCCCCCTCCACCTGGTCCCCCTGGACTTTATAAGGGGTGCCGCTCAGGTCCGGGTCTCACCTGGGCCACACGGGAGAGCACCCCCCATCTTTCAGGGCCCAGCCCTGTGCCACCTTCTCGGGAACCCTCAAGGGAGCCGGGGGAGGGCACAGGCGGGCTGAGAACTGGGCAGAGACAAGAGCGGGTAAGTGGCAGGCAGGGGACCCCGGGGCGGGCTGCCCCCTCCCACTGGCATTACCCAGATCACCTCCAGTGTGCAGCTCGCCTCCTGAGAAGCAGCGTGGTCCTGGGGCCTCGCTTTCCTGCCCGCAGGAAAGGGGCGAGCTGGTCAGCCCGGAGGACCTGCCCGGGCCTTAGAACTAGAAAAACTCGGGGAGGCCTGGGCAGCGTGCCCTCACCAGCTGCCCGAGTCCGTCCTCCCGCCCAGATGGGGCTGCAACGCGGTCCTGAGTCCTCCGAGGGCATCCAAGGGGCAAGGGTGCCAAGGAGAGAGTGCAGCAACCCCACACGAACCAAACGCCCCGACCCAGGGGCCCAGCCAGCATCACCACCAGCCCAGGAGCCCACTCCTCCGGATTCCAGCTACTCACCAGGCCTGGCGCCTGTTCCATCACTATGACAACGGGAGGAGGAAAGGGAGACGCAGGATGACAAGTTCAGCCCGTGCTGTCCCCCGACACGGCCTGAGGCCACCCCTCTCCCCTCGGGGGCACTCACTCCTGTGTCTCGGCTGGTCCACCCTATCGTGGGCGCAGGCAAACATCTGCCAGAGCTGCTCGGTCAGAACATCCTGCCAAAACCGGGGCTCCGGGTCCCAGGACGGCTGCCCGTCGAGCTGGCAGACTGGGGCACCGTCCAGCTGCTGGAGCCAGTCGGATGACCTTGAGGTCATGACGTCTTCGAGGTGTGGCCCCTGGAGACTAGAGGGCCGTGGAGTCTTGCCCCCCGGGGGCCAGGAAGCCTCGAAGCTGGCCGGCCTCCAGGAGTCCTGCTCGGCCTGTTCACCAGGGCAGACCTGGCTGTCCTGGAGCTGGAAGCACGGGGTCGTAAGGGGCACGAGGACGTGCCCTTTGTCCCAAGCCTGTCCCCTCCCTCCTCGAGGGCCCAGCATCCTACCTCCCCCGCCTGGAAGCCCAGAGGCTGGCCGCAGGTCTCCATGATCCGTAGGAAGCTTTCTGCCTGGAGCGGGAAACGTCACCCCAGCTGAGCCCCCACAATCGGACAGCCATGGGCACGAATCCCTCTCGTGAGCCCCTGTCCCCTTGTTCAAAATGGGGACACACCCCACCTTGAACCTTCTGGCACGGATTTGTGTGTAAGACGGGCCTTTACCCGGTTTTGGTGTCGATGCATGGTAACGCAGAGCCCTCTGTCCTACACTCAGCATAAAGCCAGCCTTGGTGGCAGGTGATAAAACCCAACCCTAATGACCAGTCACCGTCATAATACAGCAGACAGAGTCCGACCTGGCTTCACAGCCCAGCTGCTTTCCTTGGGATGTTTGAAAGCGAAAGCCTGAAGGCCACCCCGTGCTTAAAACGGCCTCAAGCAGCAAAATGGTGTTTCCACACGTCCCCGTGTGTGGGGGTGACATCCGAATTGGCTTAAATGTTGGAAAGATCCTAAAAAACCGATGGTTACCTCTGGCGGGGGGGGCGTGGGTAGCAACAGGCCAACAGGGGACCCAGTGGGAGGGTCACTTATAGAATTTTATATTTAAAATGGAGCTGATTCCAAATGTAACAGTTTCTAGGGACATAGAAAGGACTGTGAGCAATCCTAGTTTCTTTTTTCTACCCACCCACAGGATACCTGTCTGTCCTTCTAGAATATGCGCCTTCCCGCCACACACCCTGAGACTTTTCCCGCACAGCACTTATTCGACACACGTACCAGCTCGACTTCTAACCTCTCCGTCCACGAGACCGCGCGCCCGCCACAGCGGCTCCCGGCCACACACGGCTACTTAAACATGAAGTCCAGCACAATTAAAAATGCAATTCCTCCCGCCCACCGGCCACATTTCGACAGCTGCCAACCTGGACGGCACCGAGACCCAGGAGTGGTGGGTCCCCAGAACAGGCCAGCCTCCCACCCAGGACCCCACGAAATGAGGCAGGAAGCTGGTGGCCAGGACTCTGGAGAATTCGCAGTGGGGAGCGCCACCACCTCGTCACGCACGATAAGCGACTATATGGAAAGGTGCGTGTGTGTGGCTATACCTAGTCCAGCGCCAGACGAAATAGAGGGACGTGAGGAACGTTCTAGGTCTGCCTTGTGTGGCAGCTGCCAGCTTCATGCAGCTGGTGCCACTTGGAGGATGGCACAGATTTGGTCTTGCCCTAGGGCCCTGGGGGCAGCGCCCACGGGCCTCCCTAAGGCACCCTCCCCTCCATGCTGCATGGCAAGCAGCCCCCCAGCCACCTCAGCAGGAACCCTGCTCCCCATCTCCTGGGACGGTTTGGCGCTCCCCCTCAGGGCACCCTGTGCTCCTGGGATCTGTAAGCCATAAATCTGGGGACCCTGCTTCCTTTGTGTGGCTGCCTTGAGTCAAAACGACCCCGGGGGGGTTTTCACTTCCCCTAAGCGGGAGGTCGATGCTGGGGGGAGCTCCCCGCCACCCCGTGTGGGTGGCTCGTGTCCCCTCGGTCAGCAGGTCATAAATGCCTATTCTTCATTCAATGCACGGACCCCGGCTTCCCAACACAGCTGGCCCAGGGTGGCTTCCAAAACCGGGGAGGACGTTTCGATTCACAAAGAAACCGACTGATGAAGGAAGGTGGGGTGAGCGCCCACTGCCCTCGGTCCTGGTTCCCAGGCACCGGTTCCCAGGGTTCCCATTTTGCAGACTGGAAAACGGAGGCCCCGAGAATGGAAGCCAATTTGCCCAAACCAGCAGAAACTCGGGCCAGGCTGTTTACCTGCCTCCCTGCCCGGAGGCGAACGGATGGTGGAGGGAGGGCGGGGGGGCTGCGGGAGCCTCCCGGGGGCCGCGTGATGGATCCTCCAGCTGGGCCTCCCAGCAGCGCAGGATGGGGGGAGGGAGCCCAGGGGAGCCTCCCCCAATTCGCCCTGGCTCGTTAATGCGCAATTTACTGGCACTTTAATGCACTCAGCCTGAAAAGTGCCTCCCGCCCGCCCGCTGGCTGGTCCTCCCCGGGGAGCGCGTGTGGCAGCGGCGGTGGCAGCGGGAGCAGGGGGCCGCCTGCTGGGACTGTCCATGCTCAGCCCGGAGGCCGGAAAACGGGAGCGGAAAACGGGGGAGGGGCGACAGCCAGGACGCCAGGGATCATCGCCTATGGGGTGGGGGTGGGGGTGGGGGTGGGGGAGGGGCCCCAGCCAGGCTACCAGGGATCATCCCCGATGGTGGGGGGGGGGGGGGGGGGGGGGGGGGGGGGGAGGGGGAGGGGGAGGGGCCCCAGCCAGGCTACCAGGGATCATCCCCGATAGGGGTGGGGGTGACCTCCTGGGATGAGCAGCAACGGAAGTGGCCCACCTTGGGGCCTCGCCCCCCAATCTTGACACCCAGCAAGTACTGTCAGGGTCCTCCCCAAGGAAGGCCACAATCTGATGACTTCTCACCACCCACCTGGTCTTAAGGCCCAGCATCCCACATCCGGATGATCCTAATTGGGCCTCCAGTCCTGTCCTGCCCCCCCCCCCCATCAGCACGCCCCCCGCCCCCCCCCGCCGCCCCACGCTGTCCATCCCCCCTGCAGCAGCCAGAGGGCGCCCAGAGCCCCTGAGTCAGGGCCCGCCCTCCTCTGCCCGCAGCCCTCCAGGCTCCCACCTCCCAAGGGGGAGAGGCCCAAGTCCTCCCCGCGGCCCCCCACAACCTGCGCCGTCCCCTCCCTGCCCACTCTCCCCCTCGCTCCCTCTGCTCCAGCCACACGGGCCTTCTCCTCACTGCTCCTCCAACACCCCAGACCTGGGCCTGCCCCAGGGCCTTTGCACGGGCTGTGTCCTCTGCCTCCTCCACCCTCATCACAGACACCCACACTCCTCGTCTGACATCCTTCCGAGGGTCTGCTCAAATGTCACCTTCGCAGCGGCCTTCCCTGACCACCCTGAATTGGCAATCCACCCCCAGCGCCTTGGGCTGCTCTAATCCACCCCCCTCGCTCAGCCCTCACCATCTGACACTGCTGTTCACCCAGCTCCTCCCGCCCCGAGGGCAGGGGTTTGTCTGTGTTCTTTTTTTGCTGTTTCCCCCGGTGCCCACTGCACCACTTGGCAAGCAGGTGACGGAGAAATATCTGTTGAATGAATAACCGTGTTCTGGTTGCTTCCTGCTCCCCCCCCCCCCACCGCCAGCTCTGGATCTGTCTCTCTCTGTTCCCTGCGCTGCCCACCCCAGGCCCTGCTGAGTTGCAGACATGGCCCTGGCCTTCTGCCAGTCACATCTGGCATAGGCAGAAAGTCCTGCCAACACCCAGGAGAAAGGGGCCAGGTGGCGGGAGGTCACGCAGGGGTGGGAGGCGGCTGCCGCGTGGGGAGGGCGCCCCGTGCCGACCCGCCCCTGGCTCGAGCGTGGGCCTGGCCCTGGTGGACTCTCCGCCACACGGAAGATGACAACCCAGGTGTGCCTGGCACAGAACAGGCTTTCCCAGCCGCAGCAGCTGACCCGCCGAGCGCTGAGCGGCCCGGCCTGGTCCAGGCCACGCGGGGCCCCGAGGGAGGCCGGGCAGGAAGAGCTCAGGAGAGGAGATGCTCCCAGGATGTGGGGTCCCCTCATTCCTGTGGGGTTCCAGGACAGGGATCGCCCTCCTCCACCCGCAGCCCTCCAGGCTCCCCCTGCCCTCGGGGGAGCAGCCGAGTCCCGCTCGCTGCCCCCCAGGCCCCGCATGACCTGCCTTCCCTCCTCCTCGCTCTCAAGGAGGGGCAGCCGCACCCCGAGCTCCTGGTCAGTCACTCACCTGCTTGTGATGTTCCTGGAGGCCCTGGCGGATCTTCTGGAACTAGAAGGAACAAGAGTGATCACACAGGGAGGTGCTCGGTGGAAGCGGGCCAGGGTCCAGAATCTGAAGGCTGGCTGTGCTTCTCCCCAGCTGTGTGACCTCGGGCAAGTCACTCGACGTCTCTGGTCCCTACTCTCATCAAATGGGATACTACCTCGTACACTCAGAGTGGGAGCTAATTAGGGAGAGCCTTGGATTTCATTCTCAGTGTGAAGGTCAAAGGCCTCCTCTCCTCCCTCTGTCCCCCTCGCTCCCTCTGCTCCAGCCATACGGGCCTCCTTGCTGTTCCTCCAACACATCAGGTGCAGTCCTGCCCCAGGGCCTTTGCACGGGCTGTTCCTCCTGCCTGGCATACCCTTCCCCGTTCTCTCCAGGGGAGACAGGAGCTGCTTATCTTCCCCATCTCCCTGTGAACGCCTCTTCCTCCAGGAAGCCCTTCCTGACTCTGTAGGTCAGAATCTTCGCTCACGTCCTTCCCCTCGGCTTCTAGTTTCTTTAAGCGCTTACACTTTCTGACTTGTTTCTCCACTTCCCGCTCTCTCCTCCCCTTAGCGCTGCCCCGTCCAACGTGGCAGCCGCTAGTCACGGGCAGCTGTTTAAATGAAATCAAGTCAAAAATTCAGTTCGCTTACAAATACTCAGGGGCCACGTGCGGCTAGCGGGTGTCGCATCGGACTCTGTTGATATGGGACAGGCCCATCATGGCGGAAAGTTCTAGAAGACCACCCCACGCTAGAACATACACTCCTGGAGGGCAGGGACTCCGGCTCCACGCCGTGATCCTACAGGACCAACTGCCAGCCCCAGGAGCCCCCCTTTAAGTGTGAGAGCTCTAGTCTTCGCAGCAAGGTTTGCATCCGTGGAGAAAACCTCCAGTGGCTCAGTCGGCCAAAGGAAGGAAAAGGAGGGGAGGGGGCCGAACAGGACTGCCTTTCTGGGATGTTCCGGAGGGGGCCCCGAGTGGCTCACCAAGTAGTAAACATGCTCCATCTGGGTCGTCAAGTGAGGGGGGATCCTGGGGGGGGGGGGCAGGGGAGACAGACCCGCTGAAGAGGCAGCTCAGACCCCTCCCCAGAAGGAGCCTTCGTGCATGCCCCCCAGGGTGGGAATGGGGGTCCATCTGGCAAGGGAGTCAGTCCCTTCGGGAGCCACATTTAAGGCGGTGTCAACGTGAATATGATTTTACTGCAAGATTTTTAATGCCCCCCCCCACCCCCCACCCCCACATGGATGCTGTACTGGGGGCAGAGGCTTCTGGGCCCCCGAGAGACCGGATTCTCTCCCTGGGGGGGAGTTAGGGCCAAGGCAGGACCTATACCCACCCGCCCCCCCCACCCCCCGAGAATCGCCCTCACCTGGGAAACTGCTGCTTGAGTTGGTCCAGGACATCCTGGGAGTTGAGGCCCGGAGCCTAGAAGGGTTGCGGGACGGGTCACCAACCCCACAGCCTCCCACAGCCCTGCCGTCAGGACGGGACCTCCTAACGCCCGAAGGTCACTTGCTTGCTCTCTGGTTCCTTAAGTACCCACGGAGGAGCTTGCCATCTTGCATCTTGGCCTCGAGTCCCAAATTTCCACTCTCCGGCCCTTCACAGAAGGAGTGGGCCCCCCTCCGGCCCCCACTGTTAGAAATGGTCAGATCTGGGAAGGAAGGGCTGAGGGAGGGGGAGGCTTTTGCTTGTAAACTATTAACCAAATAGTTGATGTAGTTACGTGTTTGATCACCTGGCTGATAAGAGGTTTAATTAAGAGCCTTGGCCCCTGTCAGGTGGGACGATGGGTTAGTATCCACAGCTTAAAGGCCTGGCCAGCGTCCCTGTCCCCTCCATCGGGAGCAGGAGAACTAGATGTGAGCACAGCCCCCAGGCTCTCCCCTCCCCCCAGGGGCTAATGCCACCCCGAGTTCCTCACCGTCCTCTGAGGGGGCCCCTGGGGGCTGGGACGGCCCCAGGAGGTCATCTTCCGGTCGTGTCTCAAAGATTTTAGCCAGAGACTCTAAAAGTAATAGAGATGTGAGATCCTGTGGCAGCGACAGGTCACCAGCCCCGGTCTCCCCTCCAGGACCCAGTCCTGGGCCCCCCATCCCCTCCCTGAGCCCCCCGCACCCACTGCCTTCCCCACCTCCTATGTTCATTCATCCAACACTCTAGTGCCTCCAGCTGCCCCGATTAACGGTGGGGACGCAGAGGCCTCACCCTATGAGGCGGGAGGGGGGGGGATGAAGACGGGGCTGGACGCATGCGCTCCCTGCCAGGAGCAGTCAGGGCTGGGGGCCCCCAGAGAAGGACACCGCAGCTTAACTTTAAGTTTTGAGCCAATTTCCGAAAACGCGGGAGGACATCATTGGAAAGGGGTTTTGTAGGATGAGTAAGAGTTGGCAGGGTGGCTTAAGGAGGAAACAGACCTCTCCCCACCCCAATCACTCCTGCAGCGTGAAGCCCCTTCCTAACTTCCCTTCCGCTGCCTCGACGCCCCTCCAGCCTCCGCCCCAGCGCGGGGACCCCGGGCTCCTCCAGGAGGCCCGCCGGCTCTACCCACCGCCCCAAGACTGGAGGCCCCGGAGGAGGAGCAGCGAGGAGGCCGCGAGGGCCTGCCGAGTTCAAGCCCCGAGGAAACGCCTGCCCGCGACCCCCCTCCCGGAGGAGGGGGGGCTATTTGACCCGTCGGGCCCCGCCCACCCCGCCCCCGGCCCCGCCCCGCCCCACCTGCCCCGCGAAGCCGAGCAATGAGCGCGCGGCAGCGGCACGTGGGCCCGGGCTCCGCGGGCGGCCGCGGGCGGCGCCCGCCAATCGCGAGGCCTCTCGCCCACGTGGGCTGCGGCCGCCGTCGCTGATTGGCCGGCTCGCCCCGGCCGCCCGTCGGGCTGTCAATCAGCGCACGAGGCGCCCGCCGCTTAACCCTTGCGCTCCCGCTGCGGGGGAAGGGCAGCGTGCGGAGCCCCGGGCGGGTTTGGGGTCCTGGCCGGGGCGAGGATCTTCGGAAGGGCAAAGGGCTTGGGGTCAGAGGGTGCAGCTTGGGGAGGGGCCGGGCGGCGTGTTGCTGCGTTGTTTGGGGAGAAGCCTGGGCATTTGTAGCCATGCCCCGGAGTGGCTTGTGGCTGGGGGTGGGGGCTGGGATTTGGTGGGGGGGCGGAATCTTACTCCTGTCCTTAGATGTGAGCTGTGACTTTTCCCTCAATGTCAAATAACGTGCAATGCAAAGGAAGCTTTAGGGCCCCTTTCTGCGGAACATTCAGCTCCCTTTTATGCTTCCTCTGAGCTGAGACCGGGGCTCCGCATTTCCTCAGTGAATTTTCCCGACTGACCCCTCCAAGCTCAGGGACGGAAGCTCTGAGACCCGAAAGCAGGAATTGCAAAGGCCTTGAGGCTGGTACCGTTTTTTCCGGGTTCAAGGCCACGGTGGGAAGGCGCCCGTGGGTGTCCTAGGCCTGGGATGATGTCAGATGAGGCGAGAATGTGGAGGGTTTCAAGAGTTCTGTTTTTGGCCCGTTTCAAATGCCTCCTCGAGACGTGAAGGGTCAGTCCAGAGTTTTGGAATGAGAGGCTGCGTTTTTGCCCACCCCAGGACCTTTGCACTGGCTGTTTCCTCCACTGCCTGGGACAGTCTCCCTCCTGACAGTCATCGGCTGGCTCCTTCACCTTCAGCAATGTGCTCAGAGGTCGCCACCTCAGTCAGGCCTTGATGTCCTTTTTAAAAATGCACCCCCCCCTTCTCTCTTTCTTATTTTTTCTCCAAATGTGGATTGGATTGGAGCTAATCTTGGAATCTCGGTGGCTATAAACTCTGCTATGTTCAAAATTTGTATAATGCTGAGAATTCTCCAGTTTGCCCCTGTTCTGTGCTTTTGTCATGGGGACAGGCACGCATGACATGAAGGGTTCTGTTCTTGGGGTGTGTAATCCCGGAGGTTATGACACAGACACGGAACAGGTTTTGTGGCTGGTCCAGGAGGAGAAAAAGTGGGAGCTGCCACGAAGGAGCTGCCAAAAAGGTTTTCACCCATGATCCCTCACCCGGCCCTTAATTGAAGGGTTTTTTAATTTATGGTTCAGCCTGCTCATTGCCTCTCTCTGGCCGCTGGGCTCTCCTCTGCCTTCCATCTGGGCCCAGCAGCTTATCCAAGGCTGTGTCGTCTCCTAGGGTATCCACCGGGTACCAGTGGCTGTTTAAATTAAAACGAATTAAAATTAAATAAAATTAAAAACTCAGTTCCTCAGATGGTGCACTGGCCACGTGTCAGTTGCTCAGCAGCCACACGCGTGGCTGGGGACGACCGCCTGCCCTGGGCAGGGCAGATCCAGAACATTCCTGTCACGGGAGAAAGTTGCACCGGACAGCACAGATCAGAGATTCTTAAAAAAGGAAAATTTTGGGTCCATGTAGAAATTGGAAGCGTTTTATAGCAGCGGTGCCGTGCTCACTGGTCGGGAGCCCCCGCCTGTGGGGTTGGAATCTTGGGTGCCCTCCAGGACGGGTGCTGACCCTGGCGTGCCCTGGCCTGGCCAGCAGGGGCACAGCCTCCTGGAGCCTGGGGAAGAGACGGGGGACACGGTAGATGGCAGAGGAGGAAGTGAAGATCTCCTGGCTTTGGAGTTGTTCGGGTTGGCCGGGAAATCCACAGTCTGGAGGAAACTTTGAGACAAGAGAGGTTTGCATGGCCAAAGCTTGAGACTCCCAGGGCTGGCCCTGGAGACCTCGGCCCCGGCCCCCCGGAGGCCCCAGGGTCACCTGGGTTGGGTGTGGACCGGGCAGAGGGCTCAAGAGAAAATCCTGGGGGCAGAGCGGGCTGTGGAGTGACAACAAGGAGGTGGTGACAGGCTTCAACCCTCCCCCCCTTTTCTCCTCCATCCCCAGAACCTCCCAGAGACCCACGTGGGCGAGAAACAATAGCCACGTGACCCAAGTGAGGGAGAAGCTGCAGAAAGCCGCCAGGAGAGGAGCCTGGTGTGGAGACCGTGGAAGAATGACCGAGGGGAGGAGGACGGGGACGCTGGCCGGGCTGGGGGATGCTCGAGGCCGGGATGGCCCAGCTGCCCTGGCTCCCAGACGCCACATGAACCACCTTGAGCTTAGACCTGGCCCTGGGGGGCAGGGAATTTATTGAATTATCCAGAACTGGTTGGGGTTTGCCTTCTGCCACCTGGTGGAAACAGGCTTCTGTGGGTTCCCGGGGCGGCTGTGACAGATGACCACACACCGGGGAGCTTAGAAGAGCAGAAATCTGTTCTCTCCCGTTCTGAAGGCCAGACGTCCAGACTCAAGGGTCAGTGGGGCCATGCTCCCTCCGGAGGCCCCAGGGGAGGGTCCTTCCGCCTCTCCCAGCACCTGGTGTGGCCGCCATCCTGGGCGCTCCTGGGCTGGGGGTGCTGCATCATGTCAGCGGCTGTGTCCATCTCCCCGTGGCCCTCTCCCCTGTGTGTGTCTGTGTCCAAACTTCCCTCTTCTTATAAGGACATCAGTCATTGGATTTAGGGCCACCCCACTCCAGTGTGACCGCATCTTTTCTTTTTTTCTTTTGAGGAAGATTAGCCCTGAGCTAACTGCTGCCAATCCTCTTTTTTTTTTTTTTTTTTGCTGAGGGAGACTGGCTCTGAGCTCACATCCTTGCCCATCTTCCTCTACTTTATATGTGGGACGCCTGCCACAGCATGGCTTGCCAAGCGGTGCCATGTGTGCACCTGGGATCCGAACCGGCGAACCCGGGGCCACCAAGAATCGGAACGTGTGCACTTAACTGCTGCACCACTGGGCCGGCCCCAGTGTGACCTCATCTTAACTAATTACCTCCACAATGACCCTATTTCCAAATAAGATGACTTTCCAAGGTAGCGGGGGTCAGGACATCAATGTGTCTTTGGCGGGGACACAATTCTACCCTCTACAGGGCTCAAAAGATAAATTAAGTGACTAGAGCACTCGCTTAATCCTCCATGAATCCTGATAGTCCCCTTTTACAGAGGAGAAAACCGAGGCACAGAGAGGGTTACTGACCTACCTGGGGTCACACGGTTACTAGGCGGCTAAGCTAGGATTGGAAGCCAGGTCATCTCGCTCCGGGAGGTACCCTTATAACCCACACACCCTAAGGCGCGGATCTGAATTCGGTTCCCGCCACGGAACTGCCCACGTCGTGGCGTTAGGCCGGACCACCCCGTGGACCCAGGCTTGGAGGAAGATGCAAGACGTGGAAGATGCAGAAGTGGGTTTTGCATCTCCTGGGCCCAGCTTTCGCTTCTAAAGGCGTCCAGATGTATTAGTCAGCTCCTGCTGAGAAACAGGCTGTCCCCCAAAGCTCAGCGGCTCGAAATGATACACGGTTGTCATCTCCTGCGGGTTCTGGTGCTGAGGAATGTGGGGGCGTCTTCGCCGGTCCCACGTTGGGTGGCTGCTGAGCAATGATCTACGTTTCAGCCATTCTTTTCCACCTGCCTTCCAGAACTCAACCTAAAACTCTCTTCTCCGCGAGGCTGCACCCCTGTCTGCTGCTCTCCTGAGTGATGTTGTCGTTTCATCTGGTTCTTTCTCGTCTGCTCTCCACGCGTGGCCAGGGGACAGCTGAGGGATGAGACGCGTCCATCCTCGTGCATTTTTTCCTCGTGTGCTTATTTTCCTCCGATGTCTCTTTCTCAGCCTGGGGTCCAAGGTGGCTTGGCCTCCATCCCCCCATCAGGGGCTGAGGTTGTCATTTGAGGCCCATCCAAGGCTGCCCAGGGCTTCCCAGCAAATTCCAAGGTAGCCAAGGGTTAATTCCAACGGCGTCAGCCCAATGAAAGTGGTGGCTTTGTCTCGGGGAGCCCCCCTAGGTGTGGGGAGACTGCAGAACGCCTTCCAGAGGGTCCCGGCTGTTTCCTGTACCGGGGGGTGGGTCGGGGACAACACATGACACAGGGGACCCCACAAATCTCTGAGCTGAATCTGTGGTCTCCGGCGCCCTCTCCTGGCGGAAAGTTCAATGCCAGGTTCATGGAGGTAAAGGTCACCCACTTTAGCACATGGTTCCACGATTTTTAGGAAATTTGCCCAAAGCTATCCCCACAATGAATTTTAGAAAACGTCCATCACCTCGGAAATGTCCCTCCCGTCCGTTTGGAATGTAATGGAACGTCCCTCCCATCCCTGGCTTTCCGTCTCCGATGGCATCTCCCTTTTCTAGAAATGTGATAGAAATGGACTCCTAACCGATGTGGTCCTTTGCATCCGCTGTCCTTCACTGACATAATGTTTTTGAGGCTCGTCTGTGTTTTTTCGTGTATCAGCACTTTGTTCCTTTTTGTCGCCGACTGGTATTCCATTGCAAGGATGGACCCCATTTCGCTGATCCGTTCCCCCACCGATGGGCATCTAGGTTGTTTCCATTTGGGGCGGGTCTTGAGTAAAGCTGTCGTGAGCATCCGCGTACAGATCTGTGGGCTGGAATTTGCCTTCACGTCTCTGTGTGCATCCCTGAGCGTCGCCTTGGTGGGTGTGCTGTGATCAGGGGTCTGGCTTTTTCAGAAGCTGCCGGGCTGTTTCCCAGAGTGGCTGCACCATCTTCCACTCTCACCAGCCGGGTAGGAGGCTCCCAGGGGCACCACATCCTCATGGTGGGAAAGCTTTTAAATTAGGGATTCGCGTGGCTGTAACTTCTTCCTTCTGAGATGGGGTCT